AGATTTTTGGCGGGGTCCTGTTTGGGGGGGGGGGGGGGGGGGGGGAGACGGTTCTCTAACCCAGAAATGGTCCTTCAAGAAGTTTTCTCTCTCATCTTCTGCATCCTCAGGAGGGAGACAGCAGTAGCACTGATCAATGCCACTAATTAGACAGCAAAACTATCATGTTAATTCCTCTGGAATAAATGTGGCAAGGTACACAATGCAAAACTTCTGTGGTCTCCTAAAAGTCCAGAGGTCTGAGACCAATTTGAATCAGAAGCAACTGAATCAGTTAATAGAATACCAGATAATCAAAGCCAAAACCTTTATATGTAAAATGAGCAACGACTGATAAAAACATTTTCTTAGTTCAGTCTTTCTGAAAGACCACAGATTCCTTCAGGGATTCCATGGGTTCCTGGCCAATCACTCAGTTTCCAACACCAGGGCCTCATATTCAGGCTAGTTTGAGAGACTGTAGAAGTCCCATAGGCTGGGATTTTTAAAAATCATTTCCTCTTGGTTTATACCTTGATTTAATTGAAGCAGAGTTAAGCCCATGATGCACATTTTCAAAAACCCCACACACACTCCTGTGCATCATAATTTTATAGAAATGAAATTGATGATGCTTCCTTTCTCACAGCTCTTGTCTCATTTGTCTAATCCTTTTGTAAGCCTTTTGAGGTAGCAACTGTCTCATAATCGATATAGTGTTTATCAACATACCACCTCCATTTCAGGTGGGGTCTCAGCATTATTGTAATAGAAATTAATAATGATAATGAACATGGAGAGACAGAAAGCAAAAGAAGAGGTCTTCTCCATCCCAGACAAGGACTCCAAATAGCAAATCTATCATCAAGAATGCTCAGGACAACCAAGAGACCAACCTCTAAACCTGATAAGTCCAAAGGGAGTTTCAGTTTCATGTTAGGTGGCCATTATAGAGGACAGTCCAGTTATCCTCTGTCCTTTATTGATACAAAACCCAACGACTTCATGTCCTCTATTTTTCTCTTGAAGAGAAAAATAGAGGACATGAAGATGTCGGATTTTATATCAATAGAAGACAGAGTAGCAGAAAACTGGAATGTCCTCTATGATGGCCATCCTTGTCTCATGCCTGATGTTTAGTCCATGGCACCAGGGCCAAACTCTACAATATTTCTTACTTCTACATCTTCAAGAGAAAGAAAAGACCTGGAAACACTAACCCTGACATGAAAACCCTCAATTGCTGGCCTAACAGATCCAACAATATTAAGATGGAGCCTACTATCATCATTCTAGGCCTTTCTGGTTATCAAAGTCAATTGCTAAATATATGTAAAACATGACAACATCTTGAACGGATTGTAACTCAGAGCTAAATGCTGCAAATGCAAGTTCCCAGGAAGTCTCAGCACAATACTCCCAGTCATGTTTTCTTTTTTTCTTTGATCTCAGTAGCATCTTGTCTGGTTGAAACAGAAAACAAGGAGGAACGTTCCAGGCTGCATCAAGATCGGGGTTGGAGAGAACTGCTTGGTGGTGTGAGTGAGAACAGTTTTGGAATGGTAGTCATCAGCTGGGGTGGAGAAGGAAAGTGTTGGATTGTGCCATGAGAACATTGGTCCAGTAGAAGAGAATGTCAGTGTTACTTTTGAAGGGAAGTTCAGAGAAAAAGGCATGGCTTAAATGGACAGACAAGGTTCTTTGGGTAAATCCCATATATTTTATTAGACCAACTCAAATAGTTGGGAAAATTCTTCTTAGCAAGCTTTTGGGCACAAACAAGCTTTCAGGCACAAACAAAACCAGAGGGTGTTTGTGCCTGAAGCCTTACTAAGAATAATTTTTCCAACTATTTGAGTTGGTCTAATAAAAGATACTGGATTTACCCAAAGAACTTTGTCTGCCTGTGTCCTTAGACCAACACAGCTACAACCTACACTCCTGGCTTAAATGGAGAGCCTAAACTTGAGAAATCATTTAGTACTTTTCCAGTATGAAGTGATTCAGTATAATGAATTATTTTTTTGTTAATATTGTACATTGAACAAGGTTTAAAGATGATAGAGAGGTCTATGTATACTACTGAATAGAGAAAATTATGCTACAACTATCAGAGATAAAAATCAGTTACTGAATGAAAAACCAGGTTTTCCAGCAGCAAGAAAGTAATTTCATAAAAAAGAAAGGGAACATACAACTCAGCTATAACAGACTAAGATGGGAGCTCCAGGCCCAATATATACAAAAATGATAACTTCCAAGATGGAGACAGAATTCCTCTTATTTTGTCAGGCTGTTAACTGGAGTTGGATGTAGTTAAAAGGGGCTTGGAGGATGTAGCTCAGGGTAAAACAGAGAGGTGAAAAAAACTCCAAAATTTGCAATAGGAGTTATTTGAAACTATAGCAGTGAACATAATTATGTGCTACCAGACACTACACACACCCTTCTTTGATCGACTATGCTCTTTAGGCTTCCTAGTCTCTAAACTCTACATGGGCATCACAAATAAATCAGTTTCCTTTGGTGAATAAAAAGATTTCATGTTTGATCCACATTGCAGCTAAAATTGGCAACAAAGAGAAAACTGCTAAAATACAACCTAATGGAGATTGCATAGGAGTAATGCACAGAGGGATGGATGTTACAGGATCTGAATGCCTGCATAAAGCTCCAGGATGGAAGACCAAACTGAGCACAGGATGGCACTGGGATTATAAAGAACGACAGAACTCTAGCCTTTGTGCCATTCTTGGGCCTCTCTTCTATCACTGCTGCATCAGGTTGTAGAGAGTAAACAGGAGGCTGTAGAGAGTAAATAGAAAACAGGGCTGCTCTTCTCCCTACCACTCCATCTGCAAGTGTTTGAATGTACATTGGCTCAAGCAGGGCTGTCTAACTGCCTGCCCATGGGCCACATGCAATCCACAAGGCATTAAGTTGCAGGCTCTGGGCATCTGCTCAGCCACAGCTCCCTCTATTGCTTCAGCTGCTACAGCAGCCAAAGGCCCTAGGATTCCCTTCCTCCTCCAGCAGCTACTTTCTGCCACTGCCCGAAGGGATGGGGCAATGCCGCATGGCACTGGGAGCAGAGGGTGAATCCAGAGCTGCATGCTGCAGATGTGGGAATAACTGCACAGTACAGCAGTGGGGAGGGGTCCATGCAGGCATGTGGTGCAGTGAAGGTGGGGAAGGGACACTCATCTGCATAGTACACTGCTCAGGGGCTCATGGCTCACCCTGCTGCAGTCCATGCAGCCCCCAGCCACTTGGAATTTAGATAGAACTGGGATAAGGACATGGTGAGA